CGAAGTCACACCAGATCATCATCAAAGTTTATGTAAAGCCAGGTCATTGGTGTCGAACTCAAGTGATTTTCTTGGTAAGAAAATACATATAATTGATATAAGCCACTGACTTTTGCACAGCTTGTGAACCGGAACAGAGCACAAAAATAATATGAGATTAGGTAACATGACCTTAGCTTGACCTGATCAAGACCTCCGACGTTTGTGAAGATCATGTCATTATTGAAGCGAAATTACATATTTACTCATTGGCTGCTGGTTATAAAGCTGTACGACATATGCCACGAATGCCAGAGAGCTTTGGGCTGAACCGAAAGTCTTCATAATTTTTGACACATTTTGCATGAGCTGTGACGTCAGCCGTCACGTGCCAGATGCTAGCTCCGTGATTTCTGAGTGAGACTGAGAACAACCATCGACTGCCGTTCTAATTCCTATCGATTTCTCAACTATTTTTTTAGTGAGATTGAGAACAACTTTTGATCGACGTTTTAACTTTTTCGATCCAACAATCAAATGTTTAGATGCCCATCAATTCTGTCCCGTCCCCATGCCATCGCGGGAGGTGGAATAACCCGAGCGGTGCCGGGCTATCGAAACCGTTTCACAGCTTACGATGCGGCCTGTAGAAGGAAGAGAAATGCTACCCGCTATTAGGGCTTTCAACCAAAACCCATGCAGGAATCGGCAACATTGTCATTTGTGCAATCGGGGCTTCGTCTTGACTGCGCCGAGATCTTCTGCTATGACTGGTACGCCACAATGCTTCAATGCCAGCACCTGTCGGTGTGTCGGCTTTCCATTGAGCCCAGGCAGAAACGAAGACTGTGCAGGTACTTTACAGCGGAGGGAAACGAGCGGCTCGCACAAATGAAGGCGTGTGAATGATGGCTAGACGCCGCAGCTTTTACCTATGTACGTTAGCATAAACATATGACCATCATAGCTGGCCGTATACTTGGCATACTAAATTTAAACAAACAGAATGCAGCAAGTTCCGACGATTCGTGACATCTTATCCGCTGTCATACTATAAGATTGCTGAATGGCAGCTGGCGAGTTTCCGAGCCGGCCACCGCGAGGTGCAAGATAGCCGCACCGCCGTCGTTCTGGTGCGCCGTGCGGATGTCGGCCGGCCGCGCCGGCGCCGCCATTGTTGGCAATTGGGAGACAGCGCGCAGCCAATTTACATGGAAATCACAGCTCCATTCGAGACCGACGGGAGGCCGCCAGTCGTCGCAAATGGGCGCGCGCGGGCTGCGCGGCCCGTGCGCTACCGCTGCCCCGCTGCTGAGTCATGAGAGGTGTATCGCCGTGCATCGCCCCGGCACCGACGGCCGCCTCCACATAAGGGCAGCGCCGACCCGGGCCGCTGGCGGGCGGTGATATCAGCGCGGTGGTCTAGTTTATCGGCGGCAGTACTAAAGGCTGCCGTGTCTTAATGGCGCGTTCGCGACTGAGGGCGATGTGCGGAAGCTCGAAGACGTAATGTGTCGCTTGGTCACGCGCTGAGAGCTTTCTTTCGGCAGCGAAAACTTGGGACCGGGAATGCCAGCTGTGTATGATGTGTTAAGCCCCATGGGACCGACAGATAAAACGCTGCGATGCCAGTGGGCTACGCGCCCCAGTCTCAAGTTGTCATACCACCATGCCGAGAAACTGCCTGACTGTTTTGAGAACCCGCCACGCACCTGAAGAGTTGGACCTATAGTCGATTATGGAATTTGACGATGTAATCAACATATCAGGCGCGGGGGCGTCGTGGCAGCTCTCGCTTGACGCAGCGCGGCTCGATCAGCTCGCCCGCGACTGGGCAAACGGCCCACAAATGGGTACCCTCACAGCTGAACTGCTCTGCGTCCAGAAAGTCAAGCCTGAAGACCCTCAGAGATTCAAAGCAAATAGTAATTTCAAGCATTCATTATACGAGCTGTTTCGCCATCTGTTGCGACGCCTCAGCGCCATGTCTCGGGGGTTCAGGCGGGCAGCAAATCTTCGAATACTAAACTGTGGAGAGTGTGGAGTAGCCAACGATGGATCGAGTGGGTAATATTAACAAGAATGGAATGAAGATGAAAAACATTCCATGTAGACTTGGAAAACATGGAACTCTAAGCATATTAAGACGTTCGTAGAACGACGTGAAGTGGTGCCGTTCGTAGAACGACGAGAATGCTAAACCACATAAAACAGTCATGATTATGCCCACTTTCACAGGAACCCCGTGACACGTTTCGAAAAAGGCCACTTTGGTGTCGTGTACGAGCAGGCTGCAACAGCAAATTCAGCAAATATCAGCTCAGTTACATATAATGTTGCAACATGTTAACCAGTAAATTCAGTGAACATCAGTTCGGTTGAAGGTTGTAGCTTTACATTTTCAGATGCAAAGGTGGAGACAGCTCTGAAAGCGTGCAGCAGTCCCGTTCTGTGCTTGTTTTCCGGCATCTTGCGTTTGAGTGAGCTCCCCGCCAATACCACGCTGAGCATCATTTCAGCTGTGCGGACCCGCTTTTGAGAGGTGTTATCATCCGTGAAACACCCGTTACTCCGAAGATTTAAGCCAATTTATCAGCCATTTGTCTGCTCCAAGCACGCGACTGCGCGCTGCGAACTGGGCCGATGCGTTCGCCTTTATGGGCCTATGCCGTCCTCTGCGTGCAGCACCGAGGTACGGACGACATTTCGAGCGTACTGCCGAAGCGTGTCATGCCAGCGATTAGTGACCTGATTAGTGATCTATCTGACGAAATCCCGGCAATCGGCACATTGGCACATTCTCGCTAACATTCTCCACCATTGTCTCGCAACACGCTCGTGATGAGGTAACAGAATGGACGGGGACGTCCAACGCGGTACATGCTGGAACGAAACGCATGATTGGAATAGCCGGCAAAGGAAGAGCGTTCGGCAGGGTGCAGGCAGTTATAAAGCTGGCATAACGTGTTGGACGGTCCAGCTTTTTACTATGCATAAACGACAATGAACGGGCGTTCCATGACAGATATTGCTGTCCAACGGCTGGTCCGATGATATCTATTGAGCTACCGCTGCAGCCGCATGGCATATACTGTGCAGGCAGCATGAGGGGCACTACCTTACCTTGATACACCAGCCACGCCGCATGGCGGCGCGTGCTATCACTGTTACCACACTTAAACCGCGGGCACCTCAACAAGTGCGGTAAATATCCCTCCGATAGATGAGATCCCCACTGAGGCTAGCAGCAATAAACCACATGCGGTGTATTTATGCTCATGTTGTTCCTATTGAGGACATGTTCTGTAGGCTACAATACGATGTACTATGAACTGTTTTGTTACAACCATGCGCCCATGTACGAAATCATGAAATGGTTATCACTTGAATAGACTGGTTTATTGTGTTTCATGAAATTAATTATTTTTTGCGACTTCTGCTTTACATTTGTAAGTGTAGCAATCTAAACCATTCATGAAACCCACGGCATACATATTGCTCTAGGTTATGTATTTCAAAAGCATGTACGTCCAATTTCTCCACCTTTTATTCGTTCAAGCGGTAGGTACAATTACGACAGTGTACCCTATCAATATTTTTGTCTTCAATATTCCCTTTCAAGCAGTAATCATATAATCAGTAAGCAATATCAGTAACAGTGCATCATAAGAAAGTATAAGTGAGATACCCCGTAAGATAACAAATGATAAATGAAAAATAAGATAACAAAATATTGGTGATGTAGTGGTCATTCCTCAATAAACCTGGTCTAAATCAAATGTAGAAAGTCAAGTTATGCAAGATGGCCAAACTGAATGTTGCTTTTTGGGGGCTTCCTGACAATTAGAGCAAAACTCACGCAAATCGCTCAATTTCTAATGCAAACGCCTTGGTTCAAGGTGGGGACCTGCCCCCCCCCCCCCCCCCCCCACACACACACCCAACTGGTTGCGTGTCGGCTGCTGAATCAATGCTCCACTCCCAAACTAAATAAGGAACAAAAGTTAGATGTGCAGTATGGCGCGGATACAGTGTAACGAACCCAATGCACTCCCAGAACACCCAGAGATCTGGCGAAAAATCAGCCTGTCGCCTTTTCTGTTAAGAAAATATACAAATTGACCATGGTGCGCAAGCCCTGCCTGCAGTACTTGTTTTGGACTACATTGCCTCAGTCACTCCGGTCCAGCATCGCTCAGTGAATGACTGACAATGCTCTATTCAGTATGTTAAGTCGTCCGAGTCATGCCTATTTTTCAACATGTCAGTTCTTGCAGGTCGTTTCGGTTGTGGCGAACTAGGCATGGTTGCTTTATGACCATTCAGCGTGTTGCACCTCGCTAGAGACGGATTCGGTGAAGCATGCTCAGCCGTTCTAACCGGTATGGTTTGGACGCTACAGCCTCAGTCACCCCGACCCAGCATCGCTCAGGGTATGACTTCGTTCCATCCGTAATGGCGCACTCACATCGCAGCGACACGCTGGTTATATATCTTTGGACACGCTCACCACGAGCGTTCGGGAACGGCAGCGTTATCCTGCCACCATGCACGTCACGGTGCAGCTGTGAGTAGTTACAGAGTACAGTGCTGTACCTACGTGGGCGCCCCTGGCCGCCAATTACAACACTGCACGCGAGAGCGGCCAGCCGTTGTTTATCTCTGCGATCGTCAGATGGGCTCTTCCGGCGCGCTTGTCGCCCCTCCGAGTAAATAAACAGCGTTGGCGGCGCGGCGTCCGCTGTCGCCCGCCGGTTACGGAGCTGTCGACTGCAGGCCGCCCCAACTGGCTGCCGTGGGGCCTGCTGGCTGGCGCGGGTACCAAGTCCCTCCCCTCCCTCCCCTCCCCTCTGCCGCACCGACGAGCCGACGACGGGTGCCAATCAAAGGAGCCGCCGACAGGGATCGACCCAAGGCCGGTAGTTATGGGCTTCGTCTTTTCTTCCGCCCTTCATCCCTCGAGACGGCACCGGGACTAGATTATGCACACGTAGAGATTTGCCGACGGCTTCCCCAGGGGATCAACGTAAAGATTTATTGGTGAGTGGTCTTCTACGTTAATTAGGCCGGACGAGCTTATTTCGATAATGCAACGTGGCAGTGTTGGAATAGGTGGCCGGCAAGCTTTGTGTAATAAAACGCGGCATTGGTTCTCTTGGAAAACAATCATGGCACGGCATTCGAACGGCGCGAGAAAATCACATTTAATCTGCAGCTAGCTATAGCTGACGGGTTGAATTGATGCTGATTGGATTTTTAACAGGCGAATACAAATATTAGACAAGTATACTATCTGCAGCGGCCAGTGCCAAGGACCACCAGTCAAATAAACCACTAGATCACAAATCGTCACATGAAACGTCCGTGCATTGTAAAACACACGGGAATCTCCGGCTAGAAAACGAAACCCCTCCCGCATCTGCCATTAGCAGTGACAGAAGTCTGTTTCCATTTTAATTAGAAGGAGCTTCTGGGACGCCGGCGGGCGAAGGAGCTTGGGCCGCCATTAATGACGTGTTGAATGACGGCTGGGTGCGCTGATGACTGCAGTCGCTGTTGACGCCCCGCCATCTGGTCAGGGGGGAGCGCGGGGCGGGGCGTGATGGCAGCGTCACTCGACATCAGCAGCGGGCCATCTGGTCCGGGAGCGCGATAATCCCGCTGGATCCCGCCAGCCGGCCGTCGGACAGGCGCCCGCCCGCCGGCCGCGACAGACGCCCGGCGCGCCCTCTGGCCGGCGCGGGGGCGCCGCCGTGACCTCAGTCTGCCTCCTCGACCGGCGTGAAGAAGGAGCCCCGCCGCCGTCGGGGCGCCAGCCCGAAGGCGCTGGCCAGCTCCTGCCCGAGGATGTTCAGGTTGGGGGCGTCGCCGCCTCGCCGCCGCCGCTCCTCGTACCACCACCACGCGCCTGCCAAGGCCGCAAAGAAAAACGGCAATAAGTCCGGGCGGCGGCTCTGCAGACGGCGCTGTCGGCACGGCCGGGGACAATTACGGCGCGGCGGCAAACAAGGCGTCCCCAAGGCCCGCGCTGTGCCCGGTTGCCACGCTTCGCTGTCGCCGGGACGTGGGTAACGATTGACAAGCGCAAGGAGACTGTAAGGAGACGCGGGGAGACGGATGTTGACCTCCAGGGGTAGTGGGCGAGACTTGCGCTTGATTCAAGCTTTAATCGCAGTCGACTCTGGAATCAGGCAATTTTAGCTGAGGCATGGTTCAGTGGTTCTTCTGAACATTTGAAGGCATGTGGGCTTGGACTGAATGGGTGGTGCTGACTTACATCATAGTAAAAGTTGTGTCAAATTTGAGGCTTGATTTTTACTCTTGCTTTGATCTCATGCTTATACTTTGATCTCATACTCATGCTTGCTCATACTCATTTGCTCATGCGCGCAAATGGATATCCTTGCTCTTGGTATGGATATGTATTTTGCGCAATTCCTGTCATTGGCCTGTATCAACCCCATGCGCTATGTGGGGTGTATGGAGCACTCTTACTGCCAGAGTCGACCCCACTCGAATATATTTTGGAATCCAGCCATATGTTCTTAAATTCTGCAGTACAACTTAGAGTCAACTTATGAATGCCCTCTTCTGCCTCGAATCAGCTTCGGAGTTAGTTCAGTGCGCTGACAGTTGAAGTTGGAATTGAGTCCATGAAAGAAGAGACAAGCACGAGTCTGACGAGGGGGTTTTACCGAGGGTTAGAATCGTAAAAACAATCGTTTTAACTGTTAATTGTCTGAAGCAGTAACAGAACATGGATGCATATATATATATATATATATATATATATATATATATATATATATATATATATATATATATATATATATATATGTGTGTGTGTGTGTGTGTGTGTGTGTGTGTGTGTGTGTGTGTGTGTGTGTGTGTGTGTGTGTGTGTGTGTGTGTAAGACACCTGGGTCGGTCACCAGCGGTCGAAACCATATGTGGCCAAGTCTTGATAATGAATTAGATTAATGCTGTTACAGCTTTCGCAATGTGCGACTAAGTGCGTTTGGAAAGTTCAAGAAAGTCCGACGCCCCTTCGTTATGATGATAACCGCAGATACCTTGTTCTATCACTAGGATTAAGTGGTAACATGCTCTGAGCCATAAACTTGCTTTACCTTTCTAACATAGGAAGCTAATTCAATTTTGGCTAATTGGTAATAACGAAGCTTGACCTCGCGTCTCGCAACCTAACAGCGATATAATACAATATAGTTTCAGATGGCCAGAAGCTTAAGTTCGGGAGGACACATAAGCTCCATAGCTTTGATTTTATTTCGCGCGGTAGGAATTCGAAGAGGGCCGCTCCGTCGTATGCAGTCCGAACTGGAAAAAGCACATACATAAGATGAATTGATTTAGAAGTTCCATACAATGCACATGGAACCATGGGATGCACTTACCAAACGCTGCTAGCCCCAGCACTGCTACTGCAATCGCCGGCCCGACGCGACTGCCACCTTGAGGTGGCGCTGACTGCGGCGTGTCGCTGCCAGTCATGGGCGTTGGTGGCTCATAAAGACTAAGGTCAAAACGAATCCTACGCCATGTTTCGAAATGACGGCCTGGAGCAGCTGCTCTCCAAACTCTGGCAATCAGGATGACATGTCTGTCCTGTCAGGAAGCCGTGAGGCTGCCTTAGCATGTGTGCACGTGTGCTGAAATTTAAATATATCGGGGCCGTTTTGCGCTTGAAGTTTAAGTTTTCATAGAAAGTATTGGGAAAAATGAGGAAGAAATCACTAAAATTTGTTACTGTATCACATGTTCACGTCTGCAAAAGAAGGTCATCAATTCTCAAACCAATGAGTGCTGTATTTCATAAATATGCATATTCTCGTGAAGTTTCAGACCGAGGCGCTCCTTACGTTCAGGGCTTAGGATGTTTTCCACGAACGGCTATTCAAATAGCAGGCACATGCCGATCCTTCACTTCGGTATAGGTGCAATAAGACCATGGCTAGATATATCACTGTGAGTGTACCTGCAATATTGCAAGGATGACTTGAACAGGCAGCACTTTGTCTGCAATTTCCATGTCCAAAACCAAAAATGTAGAACAGCATCCAAGCAACCTTGGTGAGTCAGACCGAAATCCGTTGAATTCAGCTATAGCCCCGGCAGAAAACCGACACTGCTTTAGCGTGTAATGTGATCGCAACCGAATTAGTTGCTGTTGCAATTTATTGTTGAATTTGCAAGTTCACTCAATTCCATATCCAAGCAACATCTATAATAATGAAGACAGCACCATTCCTTGCTCTTAAAACGCTGCGGGCACCGACGAAATGATCAAGTCAGCGACCATCATACCAGGACCGGCATTCTTACTGTCAGCTTAAAAGGAACGTTCACATTTGAAGATATTGAAGGAAACATCAGGTATGATGAAATAAGATCACTCATAACTAATGACATACTTTGTAGTGGAGAAGACTGGTCTAAAAAACAAGATTTCTCGATTTAGTAAATATACTTCCCAATACCTCATTGTTTGATTGCATCTTAGAATATTTGTATGACGTGAAGGTGCTGCCAAAGTAGCTATGGGAAATTGCCACCCTGGCATTCACTTGAAGCAGTCCAAACCCGACGATAGGTGGCAGCGGCGGTGATTGAAGTGCTATTTGAGTCAAATGTGGTTATGTGCTCGTGTTTTGGCCCTTTCTCGTGGTGTTTTCTTATAGTTATCCCGGTTTTATGCCGCTTCCTTGCATTCGCATACTCGTTTATGGTGCTTTTTTACATTATTCGATTACAGATCTCATTTCTGTAATGACTAGCAATTGAAGCAACCATGGCTGACTTCTTATATTACATAGCACAAAACTGGAGCTAGCATGGTTCGCGCAGCATTGATTGAGAGCCAGTTGAAGTAAACTTTATTTGGAAATTATACTCACTTAGGGGTTTAAATATACTCATTTAGGGGTCTCGAGCACACGGCACCATTTACAAACAGTTTTGCTGGCTGGTGCCATTAATATTTTCTCACTCCACGGATTGGCTTGAAATTATTATATCTATAAGCGTTTATTGGGACAGCTTTGTGTCCCCGGTGGAGAATTACGATACAGTTCCAGAGGGGCGTATAAAGCTAAAGGACATTTCACAACCATTCTACCAAAAAAAGTATCAGTCACTCCGCTTAAAAAACATTTTACAACAATGCTTGTCAGTCAGGGACATTAATACACGAACTGACAAAAGTAATGACAAACGATTCGAATTCCAAATCACCTCATTTTTTCCTTCTTCTCCACGGCCAAATTAAAAGCAAAAATGAATTGATGGCTTTGATCCAATCCTGTCTTCATAACATCAGACTCGGTTTTTATAAGTTTTGCTTGCCTGTACTTGAGTGTAAAATGTGAAGGCTTTCTCCGATGTGTGTGGTTCTCGCAGCACTGATAAAGACCGGGGCATCTCGAAACGACGCGGATGTTTTGCCATTTGGCCACGTCCGATTGCAAATGATAAATGGCTGAGTTGTTTTTACCACGCGATGGGTGGTCCAGAATGCAGCTCATTGGTAGCCCATTTATCATCGACTAGTTGTCGAGATGTAGAGCATTGCACGCGTCCGTTGCACGGGAGCATATTCATGGTTTGGTTCGGATTCTAGAGAAGCGCATTCCTCAGCCTCAGCATTTAGACCTGCTGTGTGACTTCTCAGTATCTGAACCTTAGATGCGACAGTGAGCAGATGTATGAGGAGCATCTTAAATGTCGCGCATAAGCTCTTTACTGGTCCGCTCACCTGGCAACCTCGAATTGGTTCAGACGGCATATGATTCAGAGGTCAGATGTCATGGGACACGGCTCAAAAGCCGGAGGTGGCAAAATTTCCGAGTGTGGTTCTCCCATGCCACCTCAAACTGAAAATACGAAGGAAAGAGGGAAGACCGGCTCGTGTGAATGATAGCGGGGGTGTGAAGGGGCAACTCATCCGGGACCTCAGATTATCGAGCCTCGGCGTCTTTCACGTCGATGGTCGCAGTCTCGGTGAGAATCTACGCCGGTCGTTGCAGGCTTAAAATTTCCGCACATGCAGGGCTGGGCAAACGCTTAAACCATTGAGCTACGCCGTTCACCAACCGGTTCTCTGAGTCATCGATTTCTTGCCGGACCATTGTGCTGTCAGACGGCAGGTGACGCCAGCACAGCCGAACTGATGACAGCTGACGGGCAAACTACCAGCCAGCCCGCTGCCTCGAATGCTTGCAGCGCGCAGGCTCTGCAGCGTACATGGCAAAGGTCGGATCTCGCCTGGCTTTCCGATCTTTTCAGGAGTACTGTTGTCCCGGGGCAGGTGACGGGTGTAGGAAGGTCTCGCAGGGGGGGATGGCCAATATCAATCATGAAGCCGATTTTTCCCTTGCATCGCCATAGGGCTAGTGTTAAACGTTTTTAAAAGGTCGGGGTCGTGGTCCCTCGGTTTCTCGCTCCTGCGCATATGAGGTAGGTTATCGTGAAGATACTGACGTGCTTCGATACAACGAACCGAAGGTGTGCAGCGCAGCTAGCGTATGCGGCGGTTTTTATGCCACATGGAGCTTGTTGCGTGCACGCTGCACCGTGATCGAATTGTATTACGGTTTCAGTTCAGCTGATTATTTCCCCTACCACCGCCGACCAGGCACGACAGCGTAGCGCCGATGCCTCTTGTCCGCACCGCGCGATGTCACGAGACGACCGCGTCATGCCGTACAGACCCTCCTGCAGCGTGGCAACGACGCACGATCGTGTTACCTTACGTCACATTTGACTGCTATAGACAGCAGCACCGCATTATTTCACGGCTGATGTAGTGGGAACCGGCAGAACACCGGCCCATTAGCCAGGCTCGAACCCACGGCTCGGCACACGGCCTTTGGCGAATGTGCTACCAATTAAGCTACGCCAGCCATTGTTACAGACGCCCGCTCCATCCCTCACACACCGATCTCTACACCATGACTTCCCTACAACGCATCGTCCAAAACGGACCGCTTAAAACTGGCTTGCTTGCTCCCGTCTTCCATGCTGCAATTACACTCATAGCCAGCAGCAAAGCGCAAAGCAAAGAATATGCCACAGGCCATCTAATTTCGCATGATGGTATCACCAAAAGGCTTACAAAAGCTAGCTTGCAGCGAGTTTCCGGTTGTGTACCGTATCATTTACACCGGCAATGAGTTTGATGCATGAGAACCTGTAATCTCGCAATAAATGCAAATTGTGGGAAGTCGGAAATGCTTAGGTGCATTTACCCTCTTGAAATGTATTGCAATTTAGTAACATGTCCCCACACCTCATACTAAGGCAGAATCATTTTCCAGTGGCGCTTAACGATCCATGTATGCCGTTGGCCACTCAAACACAGACACGATCGCCATCCTGAGCATTTATACAGCTATTGATCGCAAATAGCACAGATGTCTGGAGCTAGCCGCAGGCAGCTCCAAGTGTGAGTGTGGAAAAAGCGGTTCCACGGCATCGTTTTCCAAGAGCCAGGGGCATCCATTGGGCTGACACCCATTCTTTTCAGCATGTTAAGACGCGCCACTCTTAGTATGCGAACCGTGACCGACGGGGATCGAATGGCCCGGGGCGTTTTTCAGCACCGAGGGAGGATAACCGACCGGACTGACTCGTGCTATTCCTATGAAGCTCCACGTGACAGTGCTTGAAGTGGGCTGGTGGTTTGAATTTGCTTCTGTTTGGCATATCAGACCGACACGTTTGGGGTTTACAGCCGAAAGGCTTTAGCCAGTCATCAAAGTTTCCACCCATTCTCGTGGATGTCCCACCACATTCACTCAGAGAGTAACATTGGAGTCTCCAATCAAGTCAAGATCTAAGTTTAGAACTTTGGCTCAAATATGGGTCCAAGTCACAAATCTGCCATTTCGAAAATCATCTTATCCCAGGCACAGGTCTCGAGTCCCAGGACTTTGATCGCATTAAGGTTTATACCACACGAGTCTGAGCCCAAGAACATGGGCATAAGTTTCAGGTCGAGTCCCAGCCTACCGAACTTACGCACGATTGTGGTCTTGGTCCATTGCTGTACTACAGGATGAGACAGGTAAATATAAGGTCAGATGGGATGGTGGCAGGGATATAACTTTCCATCGACGCAAATGGTTACGATTATAGAATGGACGCCAGAATAACAAGTAGTCTTATGTTTCTGTTATGGCTCTAGCTACACTTGGAACCAAGTCGGTGGAGATGCTATCCCAGGCCAAACGACGTGAGAGAAACTGCAAAGCTGTAAGCTGTAAATAACAACAGAAGAACATGTGTCGCATCTCTTCTGCATTGATTTAGTTTATCGATCGAACCAAAACAATACCCTCTTACGATGAGAAAAGCTGTGAATAACAACTTAGACGTGTCTGCAGCTGTTCATTTTTAAAAAAAATGAATTCAGGATTAAGCCCGCACATGTCATGGGAGCGTCCAAGCGAATCCGGCATCCCTGTAATTCCCATCAGTCGTCACAAACTGCAGACGAACCGTGGGCCCTGATAGGTCAGGCCCTGGATGAAAACTCTAACACAGCGTTAAACAAATCTTCAAAAAAGCAACATTGCGAAATCAGTCGTTTAAGTGTTTGAATTATGTATTTGAGGTTCGCAAACATGAGGCTGAGGCATTGCATTGTGGCCGTATCCGATCTGGGAGCTACATGGTTGACTTCTGCAGTCCTTCAAGCATTTGTTCAGACTGCCCTCACCACACAAAAGATGAGGATGTTGAGGTAGTACATGCTCTAAAAAAGCATCACTGCTGTGAAATT